AAAGTGTATAGGTAGAAGGAATCTATAGAAGTTTTAGGATGTAAAAATGAAAAAGAAAATCACTACTATCTGCTATGCCTTTCTGTACAGTCTTGCTGTAACTCCTGTTTTGATTCTGAACCAATATTGTATGGGTTCTTTCCTGACACATACCACATCCTTCCACCAAGTATCATGATAATATGTCAGGTAGTTTTCATTTAATCTTGCTTACAAACCAACCACCAAGCAAACTGACAGCGGTGAAAACATACTGAGAGCACATGCAGGTTCACTCACTGGCTTTATGTTCCATTTGTTTGTGTCTCATTAACTTTCTTCCTGTGTAGGCCTAGCAGGGATTTAGATAAGAGTCTGCATTAAATCTCTCTGCTCAGATAATCTATTGGTTCTGTCTGGATCAACAGCACTGTTAAGATCTCACTTTGACTTAGAAAACCTGGAGATGAAAACCAAAGATGAAAAGAGTACTGAATCGGATTTCCTGTAATTAACAGTGTCGCAATTAACATGTATTATGAGTGTGTGTGTGTGTGTGTGTGTGTATACATGTAAGTGTAAATGTGGTGTCATGGTGTGACTGCAGCCATGAGTGTATGTGTGCGTGTATGGCTGCCTGAGTGAATAAGAGGGAGCGTGTGAGAAAAGGTGTGTGTCATTTTGCACAACAGGGTCTAATACGTGTGAGTGTGCATGCACAAATGTGCCTTCATGACTTCCAGGCATTATTTTCAGCATTGCCATGCCTGGGTAGCAACTGTCGGGCTCATTAGCACTTTTCAGTAAAATGGGCTAATCTAAGAAACAGTTCTGCCTGTGTGTAGATGTATTTACTTCACTGCCATTAGCTTCACTACGATTTTTCTTATTTTACAATGCAATGTGTACACAGGCTTATTTTCTGTAAATACACACTTTTGGAAATGAAAACACGCATTAAAAATACTGTTTCCTCGAGACAGAGTAAATTAGTGGAAAAGCCCAAGAAATGAAGATGTTTCCATACACAGCAGGAGAAGTCTGAAGGGTTCAGTGGAAATGAAACAAATTCTACTTTCACTCACTAGACCACAGTGAACGCTTATAGAGGAGATATAGGTGCCACATCGGTCAACATCGTCAGACACCCACGAGGGAATATGTTTAGGAATAATTCTGACTTTACACATACTTGCAGGATCTCTGTCAAAGCTGTTTAACACCTTATAAGAGCATTTTGGGGGTATTTACTGAGGATTTGTGGCCATTTTAAACATCTTAATTCAAGGACCACACTGCAGTTTTACATGAGTAAAAAGGACGAGCAGCAGCAGAGGCTTTTGAATTATGTGGTTTAAGGCATTCTGAATTAGATGTGCTGTATTTGAGAGGCAGAAACTGAGGTTTTAAGAAATGACAGCTGCACAAAATTTAACATGTAGGAAAAGCAGGTGACACTATTTCACTGTTTCATCACACACATAGACACAGAAACTGAGACGTGGAAAACATAAAAAAAAACACCTTTGCGACCTACTAAAATTCATAAGTTATCTTTTGACTACAATACATGGACAGTACATTTAGGTGACATACAGTATATACAAATGCTCCAGTCTAGCAAATCTCCCAAACACTCTCACTCCTGAGGTCTTCATATATGGCAATATAATTTATAAAAAAATGTAAACAAATTATACAAATAGTTCTTCAAAATGTTTGTTTACAGGTTGTACTTTTGTCTTCTTGATGAAACTGTGCTCTGAGCTGCCTGATGTCTGTGCATATGATGTCCATCAAATTCACTGTACGTTGCAGAACTTTTTACCGCTTCCAAGGTTGTTGTGTTTTCGCCCCAGCCTGCTTCTTTGTTTCTGTGTTTGTTTGTCAGCAGGGTTACGAAAAAGCGACAGCACTGATTTCCATGAAACTTAGTGGAAGGGTGGGACATGGGCCAAGAATAAAACCCATTACATATTGTGGTTGATCTGGACAAAGGGATGGATCCCAGATGTTTTTATCACTTTTTTTAAATTGTGGAAGCATTTTTTTTGACAAATCCCAGGCAATAATTCATGAATCTAGACCCATCTAGGGGACTGATTTGTGTCAAATCTGTTGCCACTTGATTGAATTTAAGGGGACTGCTGGGCCGTGGTGGAGGTATGCGCTCTACTGAGTGCCATTCTAGTATACTAATGAAATGTCAGTGTAAAAAATCCTCTTGTCCTTAAACAAGGCACTGATGCGGTTCAGTTTGAGTGTTTACTTCTGACCTCCCTGAAGAGGGAGATGAGGACATAAAACATCGTATTCCCACTGTATTCTCTAGCTCACACTAATTTATTGTTTATGTGTTGGTCTGTATAGAAATGACTTCAAAGTGTCTCCCCACCATCCTGCTGTCTGCTGTGTCTCATCACAATTTGTCCCCTTTTGTTGCAGAGCATGCTGCATCAAAGCACAGCAGGGAGACTGACATGAGGAAATGCAAGCTCCATCCATATGGTGTCCAGTTACACACACACACACACGCACACAATGAGAGAGAAAAGATCTAACAGTTTATCTTTGGCTGACTGTAGCGGCCGCCCACATAAATGTCCGCTTGGCTCTGCTCTGATCACAAAATTGCTCTGTGCACACCTCTCTCTCTCTCACACACACACACACACACACATACATACACACAAAGATGGAGAGTGTACATCCAGAGAGCTTACAATGTAGCACACTCTGGGAGTTCTCACTCTCTCTCTCACACACACACACACACACACACACACACACACACACACACACACACACACACAGACAGGCACTGTTCACTATGGCATGAAGTGGACTGTTCACACATGGTGGCATGCGTGTGAGGGAACGCACACGCACACAAACACACACACAAACTACCAAACAAAAACTCCCATCAGCTCACCCACACAGTCCGCATGTTGAGGAGTGGGTGTGAAGGAAACTGAGCAGACTGAGTGAGGAGTGACTGCACAGAAACCAAGCTCTCTGGTGCTAAGCTTTTTTAATCATTAAATATACATTTAAGAAACAAACTGTGTTGTGTTTTTTTACTCTTCTTTCATCACTTTGCTTTGTACCATGGTACAATTCACTGGAATTTCAATAAAACATGGAAAACTGCGTTGTTTCAAAACTTCTGACCTTGTTAGCCTAGTTTAGTGTAAAGACAGGAAGAAAAGTAGAAGTAGAGATGTTCCGATACCAGCATCGGATACTGCAGATACATGTTGGTTAAGGCATCAGCAAGTACACAAATCTATGTCCGATCCCATACCGCATCTTTAAAGTATAGTTTTACCAAGATAAAACTACTATTTTCTTTTCCTGGCAATCACTGCTTCTTTGCTGCTTATAACAGCTGTTGTTTCTGACAAGTACTGTTTTAAGAGCTGCGAAGAAGAAGTGATTTCTGGTTCTGTTGCATTCACCAGCTAGAGCGAGGTAATATGTCAGCAAGGTGGAAATATTTCACGATGGAAGGTCTGTTATTTGATCACACTGTATCAGCCGATGTGCAATGTCCAGGTATCGGTATCTGTGAACAGAAAATCTCTAAGAAACATATTTTATTACTTTCAGACAGTCAGGCTACATGTTTCCCCAATTTCAAGTTGCTTAGCTAAGCTAACTGGTCGCACATTGATATTTCTATTTGTCCAAGTTTAATCAGGATATCAATATTTTTCCGAAGTACCCATTTAGTGTCATCGTAATTGTTAATAAATACTAATTTGTGCATAGCTTCATGAGATCACCTTTTTCTTCCTGAGCCCAGCCTATTTAAAGCAAGAGAGAAAAACAGAAACAGAAACAAATAATGTGATAATTCTATAATGCAACTCAAAACTGTATTTTCTATATTTTAAGAAAATGACTGAGAATAGAAGTTTAATGTCTTTACAAGTCTTGGCGGAGCCCAGTAATGTAATTATTTGATGCTTTGTGTGTTTGTGTAATTACAGAGGATCTCTAAAGGATTGTTATGGTTGCCACAAATTCCCCTGATTAAACTGCCAGGGCCTCCACTCTCACTTACAAGCAAGCACAATTGTGAGACAGGATTAGATTACAGGGAATCAATTCTAATTGGATTGTTATAATTAGTTGAACTGAGTTTGCTAAAAATCGGTGAGTAATTTTCTGTGTTTTTATCACTTTTAGGACTTGGTTGCAAGACAATAAAATTATAGATACTTCTGGTAATATTTATAACTACAGAAGTAGAACTACTCATAAAACTGCAGATCAGATCATTTTGGAATCAGGAAGGACATTATTCAAACACAAAGACAGCAACAAAGCTAAACAGAGAGTGTAGCTCACCTCGATGTCGCAGATACTTAACCATACAGTATCATGCAAAGCATTATTGAGACAGCATGACATAACATTGATAGACCAATCAAACTCTCTTAGTGCTGTTGATCAGCAAGACACAACAAATCGATCAGGAATGAGAGACCATCAGCAGATCTGTCACCGGCTGGCTGCTGATACACAAATGAGCACAACAGCAGTGACAATGACAGCAGCAGTCAGACAGGCTGATCATTACGCACCCTCAGCAGGAAAGAAAGAGACAAGAAAACACATACACACAAACACACACACATACACACACACTATCTCAGCTCCGAGATAGAGTTTGGAGAGGTGTTTTGTCTGAGAAAAGGCAGAGGAGGTGATCATGAAAAAGAAGAAAAAGGGTAGAGCAAGTAAACGTACGTATCCATTGCATCAACGGACATTAATGCATCATCAAAAATAAGAGTGGAGACTACTGTTTGGGGAGAAGAGAGGGAGCAAGAATGAGGAGTAGTATGGGAAAAGACAAGAGGTGGGCTTATCTAGAGTGTTTACAGAGAAAGAGAGAAAAACCTCAAAACAAAAACAACCAAACCTGGGAACTTTCAACAGGAGAGGCTTATTTCCAACAAATCAGCAGGGCTTCAAGTGGAGACAACAAACACAAAGGCCGCCCATCCTACCTGAGTTCCTCTTGGAGATGTACTTGACGTCATCACAGGCTCCCGAGGCGAGGAGGAGGAGGAAGAGGAGGGATACGGTCTTCATCTCTCAATTCCCTGCCGGCACCTTGAGAAAACAGGACAGAGTGGGGTTAAATCTTATCTAGAGAAGTGCCATTCTGATTCTCATTTAAACCAGGTTCAAACACAACATAGTTTCGATCACACCAAACAATAAAGTGTGTTGAAATTGTAACTCTGTCCCCTCAGGTTTTGGAGAATCTATGCCACAGAATTACACCTTAATTGCTAGAGAGCTACGTGCCAACCTTTTGCTTCAATGTCCACATGGCTAAATAAAAATAAAGTAGAGTGCTACAAAACAATTACTGTGAGTGTTTCCTAATCTGCAACTTTGATTGTTATGGTTCAGATCATCAGTTCATTATCTATACCGCTTTTTCAATCCCAGCTGACTGCGTGAGAGGACAGGTCGCCAGCAGATACAGATACAAACACTCATTCACAGCTATGGTCACTTTAGGGTCAATTTAAAGTTCCCAATTCACCTAAGTGCATTCTGCAAGTCTGTGGAGAGAAGCCTAAGTACCCATAGAAACTAAATAGATACAAGGAGAACATGCAAACTCCACATGTAAGACCCCAGTCAAAACAGGACCCTTGGTTTCTTGCTGTGACACTGTCACAGGTGCCTATTCAACCTCCAGAGCACTCATGGGGGAAAACATTCTGTGAGGTGATATATATGTCAGAGGAACCGAACATATAAAAGGCAAAGCATTTTTAACTTTAAACTAGTCTTGTTTACATTCATCTGGCAAAGTCCGAAACAATGTCAGTCTCCATCGCTTTACAAAACACATTTGTCAGACCGGGGACCACAAACATCTGTTAGGGCCACTGCAACAACTTTCATTCATTCTATCCTTTCAACCACACACAAGCTCTAAAAAGAGATTTGTTTTTAATACAAGGAGAAGTTTCCCTTTTGGCATCAGAACATCCAGGACTCATACTGAGCACCCCCACCTCTCCATTAGGCTGAGTTCCACTATACCATTTGACACGTTAGACCAGTCCCAGTCACTTATACCGTTTTGTTTTTTCTTCAGTTGATACCAGAAACACACTTTCCCTTTTTCTGTGTTGGTCTTCAAAAGTTATGACTCTGTACTTTGCCTTTCATACAAAGCAGTAATTGCATTTTTCATGGGAATTCAGTCTTTTTTGCCAGGCTACACAATATGCAAAATTTGAGGTTCTAGAGTGTAATGGGAATTATGAAAACCAAATACCGTGCAAACCGAAAATGACCTTATTCCCCAACAGGATATTGTTCTATTCTATATTGTAATGCATGTTAGCATGGATTTGTGTAACTTCCACTTTGAAATGGGGTCAAAGAGTTGGATAGTGGTTTTATGTGGATAAGGAAAAGTAGAAGGAAAAAAAACACTGCTTTCCCTATTGACACAATACTGACACCAATGTGTATAAAATGTTCTCTTTGTGATGTCATGTGATTTTAAATGAATGTTAAAATTTCAGCTTCTATCTTTCAAACTTTACTGGCTACAAATACAAAGACAGAGGGGTGACCCCAAATCTTGTTGGATGTGGGTCAATATGCCATACAAAGAGAAAAACAAAATGCTTTATTTGAACTACGGCAACAAGAATCACAAAAAGTACAGCAATATTGATCTGAAACTGATCTAATTGATCTAAAACTGAAAATTGCTTGATTTTTTAGTTTTTTTTTAACATATGGTTTGAATCAAACTCCTAAAACTAAATTAGATTTGATGATAGATCATGAATACAAAGGCTGCAGAAGCTTCAGGGACACACTCACAGTCTTTGAGCCAGCCATGTGAAATCACATTGATAGAACACAATCAGATTTTCTCATGCTCTCTGTGTACGAACTATATGGGCGCACACACACACACACACACACACACACACACACAAACACACAAACACACACACACACACAGGAACCAGGGAGAGATCGAAGATGAAGATTAGCCATGCCAGGAGTAATTTCATTGTATTTTTCATACACATGACATTAAAAAGAGAACTCAAACTCCAGCTGCTGATTGAAATCACATTTCATTCACATGAGCAGTGGGACAGCTTATGATAGAGCCCAGGATGGGGTTGATATGTGAGACACAGTCATTTGCCTTTGAAGATTGGCAATGATGGGATGGCACATAAAAGTGGTCCAAATCAATGTGGAGGAGAAAACCAAGAGAACTCTACAGGCTTTTTCTAGTTTTTGTCAGAATAACAACACTTGATTAAAGATTCAAAGGCGAACATGTAGTGTTCATGATTAAGGCTTTTTCTTCTACAAAAAAAACTAAAATATCAATAATTTGAAAGACTACATTGTCTCATCACCATCATTATCACATCTCAAAAATGACCTTAAAATCCCTCAACCACTGGTTAATGCTCTATGGAGTGGGGGCTGCTTTGTTTTCATATCAAGATGTGTTTCCCCTAAACTTAACCTCATCCTAACCACACAGAGGGGACGCAACAGCTGCCGCTACAGATGGATCCAATTCTGTGTAATACACTAGTTTTAAAACAAAGTAACACTGTACAACTCCTTTACCTTAAAATCACAGCTTCCAGATAAGTTCAATGGTACACAGATTTTACAAAATGAGAAACATGCCTCTTTCATTCTCACTTCTCACCTGGAATGTCTGTTCTTGCTTTTTGTAACTTTGGCAATAGTGTACACAATAGTGTACACTTGCCAGCAGTGCGTAACTGATTGATTTTGCCATAGCTTAAATTGTTAAAATCAGTTCAAGAATAACATGCTCCACTGTAGATAACATTTAAAAAAAATAGAAGTCCTCCATATTATATATTTAGCCAGAGAATGTTGTAAAATATCAAGGACTCTGAATTGTTTGTATACAACAGTGGGTGGTTTTCAGGTTCAGGAAGTTAAAGGATCCTGAGAAATATCCATTGTTCAGTTGTGTTTTTGCTGAGTGAGTGAGACCACACAGACAGCTCCAGTCAACAAAGATTTCAACAGAAAGCTTTGTTTTTTTTTTTTTGTCTAAATGAAAAACCACTTAATTGCTATGACAACGAGCCCAACATAATTAATAACCAGATGTGGCCACAGAGGGCGCTGTTGCTGAGTGAAAAGTTACAAAGTGTTGCTTTAATACAGAATTGCGTTTTTTTTTTTTTTTTAAAAGCAATGCTCAATGTTATGCTGCCAGGTCATTTTTGAAGAGATTACTGACACATCACGGTATGAAATGACACAACATTAACTATAGTGTGTTTGTTTACACAGCACACAGCCTGTACCTGAGCTGTAAGTCACATGGATGTTGAGATCTCTACATTAGTCAGCTCTTTGTCTGTGTAGATGGACAACTTGTTTCCGCATGACGTCTCCTCACTCCAGACCACATTAGCATAAAGCAGTAATGTCTGCGCTCTGTTACAAGCAGATAACAGCCTGCTAACATTACTCAAAGCAAGAGCCACACGCTTTTAACAACAGCCCACATTAGCTCTGCAGCTCCGCTCTCCTCTTATCTAACAAGCACCAACAAGAGTCCTCTTCCGCTACTTAGCTTTTTGAAGGAGCCATGAAACAGCGAGTTAGCTTCATTTAGCAGCATGTACACATACTTGCTAATGTTCCCACGGCTGGTAAGCTACTGCTTTGGTCCCTATCCCTCAAAAAACAACTTTCTTTACTTTCTTCTTTCCCACACCGGACTTAAGTTGCTGTCAATGCACCTGGATTAAGATATGCCTCTCCAGCAGGCTGAAATGAAAGGAATGTGTCTATAAGCTCTGGCATTCAAATTGACTCAAAATGGCGTCATTTACACCATGTTTTTAGACTAAATGTCTTCCGATATCCTCCTCTAGAGCCGCGTTTGCGCATGGATCACAGTTTCGAGTCAAATTTGAATGTCAGAGATAACGGACACTTGGATGACACCACAGGAGCAATATGGAGGCCTTGTAATCTTTTTTTCTGTGTTATTTTTACATTTGAAGAATTCATTTCAATTGCATTGGAGTTGGCTGCACCCCTCAATCAGCATAGTGGTGTGCAAATGAGTACATTTTCATTTTTGGGTGAACTATCCCTTTAAGCCAAAGAAAGTTCCAGCCATGTTTTTATTTGTTGTTGCCACAGAAAAGTTGGGGGAAAGCATTTGTTTGTCCCATCTTAGTGCAGCAAAGACGGGACATTATTATAATGTTATGAAAGTAATGTTGTACCATTGCAAGAATAAAGTCAAAACTAAGAAAAAAATCATTTCATGGGAATAGAATCTTAATTTTGTGAAAAAAGTAATAAAATCATGAGTAAAATTTTAATTTAGCAAGAAAAGTCATAATATCACTAGAATAAAATCATAATGAATGGTAGTGCCAGATGCAAAGGAATTCACTGTGTTTCTCAACATGAGATGGACAGACCAGACTCAAAGAAGCAAAACAATGTTGTACATAGAGCGTATTCAGAAAATATTATTTTTCATTGGAACAATCATTTCACCATTTTGGTGAATTATTTGAGTTTTGATTGTTGAAGAAGGCGTAGTCTTCTTAGAAACACTACAGTGCCATATAGGCAGTATTATGAGTCTCAACAACTCTAAAGCCTTTGCTATTAAAAGAAAAAACAATACAAGGCAGGAGGCCCAAAGGACAAACCATTTTAAGTAGAACTCGAGATACAAGGCTGCCCTACTCTTTGTTTTGCCTCTTCCTGGCCTCACAGGCTGCAGTCCGTCTCCAGTCCTCGGAGGAGAACAGGTTTTGTCATGTTGTTATATATTGCAGTGAAAAAGCGGAATGGAGTTGTTGTCTCGAGGTGAAGACAGTGAAGCAGGAACTCTCTGACAGGCAACAGCAATGAGAAAAATAAAAGTGTGAGTCAGTCATATGGGGTGTTTACCTAGGTTATTTGGAAAAGTAAAACATAAGTGGACAGATAAAAGTTCATGGTGTTAAGCATCAAGACCTTACATTTCTTACAGACATAAACAAACAGAAACAGTGATTGGGTGATTAATCAAACAGAGCAAATAA